TGCCGCTCCCTCCACCCTTCTCAGGACATTTAAATATCCAGCCATTGTCACTGGCACTGACAGGCGCACTCGCAGTGCAGTGAATGAGAAAATTAGTAATTGAAATGTGACCTGAACATGTGTTTGTGTTTTCTGTTTGTGATGTTATTTTTTGGGTAGCTGGGTGCTAAAGAGCGGGGTTTCGTCTCTAAGGTCTCGTATTCAAATCTCGCCAGCCACTGGATTTAGCTGATAATGCCTCCACCCCTATGGCGTAGTCTAAAGTATGCACAGACCTTTGATAACAAGTCTTATTTAATAATCCCCATGAGCGTCTTTGTTATCAAGGCTCTACTGTGATCGAATAAATCCTATGACAATAACTAATAAGTTAAGTATAACTTACGTGGGAAATTTAATTTCACAAACAATAATTTGTTCCGCAGCTCTACAAATTGTACAGAACCAACGACAATGCCAAAATATGTTTGTAACCACCTACAGAAGCGCTGGGTGAAAACCTAGTTGTCCAGGGGAGGAAAATACAAGGTCGCCAATTTTCTTCGCTACGTGATCGCACTGCCTGAATCACTCAGCCCAATATCATTTCTGACGCTCCCCTCTAACTTCATATTATCTCTACTTTTGTATTCCTCCAGCGCCACGGCCACTGCTGAAAGTACAGTTTCTCCAATAAAACGTATAAAAGTGTATTAAATTGCTGATAAAACGCGTTACGTTTTGTCTCTGCGAGTTACTGAACGTTTTACAACATCGTTGATTGGCACTTAATTTCTTTAGTTAGTTTATTTGTGAAATCCAGGTTATAATTTGTGGAATGCGAAACTAAATAAAATGTATCAGCAGATTGACAAATACTTTCTTCCATTCGAACTTAAAATTGAACATAATGCTGTTTTATGTGCGAAATAATGTAATACTGTAACAATAATTAATTGCTAACTTATATATAATTTATTATGAGTACCTTATACCTCATAAGATAAGACTTAAGGTTTTAGCTGGGAAATCACAAAAGTTTCAGTAACACTTTGAACCGTAATTTTTACAGCATTGGGAATTTGTGCCATTTCGCTCAGGGTCGAAAGGACTACCATCTAATAAATTTAAATAAAAATCGTTAAAGCCGTTTTCGTAAAAGCCAGCTTTTCCCGTTAATCTATGGGAGGTTTTCGGTGGGAAATCGCCTTAAAATATTGAAAATTCAAATATAAAAGTAAAACACCTATATACCTACTACCTACGTACAAAAATGTTATCATAATCAGACCACAGGGTGTGGTGAAACTCTGTACACATACACACACACAGAAATCACTTGGAAAACAATTGTCAGAGGGAGCAAAGACGGATATTTCCACACAAAATGCTAACTCGAATATCTTTACAGTAAACTAACAATATACTTTCTACATAAACTATGCATAGGAGGAGAACGTCCGCTACTGCTCAAGACTTATCAGACGACACACGTTTATAAATTCAAATTTATGATAGTTTTCTATTGACATCACGTGAACATTGAGTGTTTTTTTTATGGTTAAACTTCCAAATATAAAATTAGTCATAAAATCCTATAGTGAATTAAGAATGGACAAGAGACTTGGGTGCTGTGAGAAATAAATAATTTTATTCCATTGATGGTTCTGCTAAATGTGTTTGTTCACACGGTTAAGGATTTCGCCGCTAGAGACCACCACTAGACAGGGAATGATAGATTGTTTTGCCCTAAATAGCATTGGCTCTACCCGACACTAACCAACACAGTCAATTTTAAGCATGGGTTACACGCGAACCCATGATCGGACCATGGGAACAGGGGTTTATGGGGGTAAAAATGGGTTATTCCCATTTTCACCCTGTAAGCATAAGATTTTACAATTTCTTTCCAAACCGTTTTGTAGAGCTAAAAAAACAAATAATTTAGTATATTGAAGCATTGCTGTATGCATAACGGTTACAGAAAAATCCCCAAAAAGTGTAAATTTAAAATTACTATGATTGTTATTCTTATGGAGAATAAATCAAATGTTGTAGCTTGCTTATCTATGGACATATTTTAATGAAATTCTTTTTACTTCATACTTAGTTATAAATATTTCAATTTAAACCCCCATACTCGATATTTTCTTCCCTGTAGAAGCAAACCTAAGTACTCACTAAAATAACGGTATTAAAATAGGAAATAAATCCGACAATAATTTTAAGTGAATAATTTAGTGGAATTCCAGTCAGGTAGATGGAAATTCGCTCAGTCTGCAGGTTTGCTGCAGCGAATACCCCCGCCACAGCAAACCTGCAGACTAAGTTAATTTCTATTTAGCTGACTGGAATTCCACTAAATTATTCTCTTAATTAAGTGTGTTGTTATATTTGACATATAGCTTAGTATGAAATAAATAGATTTGCCAAATAAGATCAAAATATATACAGGGTGAGTTTAAATTGTCCCCCCCCAACTTTTCTCTAAATTTTTTCAAATATCAATCCCAGACCACTTCCAAACATTGTTGGGTAGTAAGTAACTACTTCATTTTGACAAGGAGGTCATTTCCAGCCGCCATCTTGGATGCAAAATATTTTTTTCAAATATAAAGGCGGGGTTGTTACCCATTATTTCGAACTAATTTTTTACCCTGATTACAATGCCAATTGCCAAAAACTGTTTTTAAATATCTTGATGCGTTCCAATGTTATGAGGACTTTTTATAACTTTATTTCTAGCCCATTTTAACATTGTGCTTTTACAAACTAAGACCATAATCTGAAAATAGCGCTAGATAAAGATAAGTATACACTACTGTACCAGTTTTTGTCAAGTATTTCCACTTGGTTATGATTTTGAAATGTAATTAATTATTTTAAATTCAAAGGGGGTGTTGTGACCCATCATTTCGAATTACTTTTTTAAGCTAAACTCAATGCCGCAATCCATTTTTTGTTATCAAGTTTTCTTTATGAAATATTGGAATTTCTTTGTTAAAAATGTCAATATTTCAAAATCAAAATATGAAAAAGGAAAACGGACCGTGGAATTGAGTTAAGCTTCAAAAGGCAATTCAAAATTATGGGTCACAACACCCCCTTTGTATTTAAAATAATGTATCACAATTTATCAATCACAATTACTTTGGTTTAAATTTTCTAAGGTATAAAAAAAACTGTAGATACTAAAAAGACAGAGCAGAAGTAAGAAAGCTGTTTTAGGGGAACTTCTGGACCAAGGATAGCCGTTAGGAAAACCCTAACAGAACTAAAGGCATAGACCGTGATTAATGTTGAAAATAAGAAACCAAATTATGGAACTGCAAACCATCCAGGTGCGTCATCTGCTTCGGTATACATTGTGATACACTGTTTATTTCTTACCTTGTATGATATTTATGGTTACCTTCGTGGGAGAAGCAGCAGGTCGAATCCTGTATATCTATGTACAAGAATACACGGATGGTGTTTTTGGCCTCTGGGGACATCAAACCAAAAAGTTAAATAGTCCCACAAAATGTAAGTACATAGAGCGCCCCTCCCCCCACGCAGTACATGTATATGGCGCCCACCCCACCAAAAATTCACCACCTATGTTTATTCGTTTATCTCAGCAAAAGCCATGATAGCGGCAAAATTTAAAAACTCTGGTTTTTTCATCATCTCCCTTGGTCATGTTATCATAGTCATCGTTTTCCGTGATCGCAGAAAATTCTTGAATATATCCTGCATTCATGTTAACATGATTGTTGTTTTAAAATCGCAACTATGGCAAAATCATGAATTTCTTCTTCGGTCTTGAAGACATCATCGTCTCCCGCGGTCACGGAAACGGCGACATCTTTTTCCGCAATTGCGGCAAATTCTTGAATATTTTTAATCATAGCAAAATGCCGAGAAAAATTCAAGTCACAGAGAGGTTAACTCCTCTTAGATTAAAACCTTCACTTTACTATAATGCTCTACCTCTGTTAAGACCTAACACTAGTCAACCAAAAATCCAAATAGCCAGTAAATAACTGTTTTGTGTTAAAACATCATATAAGTATTTTGTTTTGCGAATAACTTTGGGACAAACCCTGTCAATGGTTGAAAAAGAACCAGTCCAAAAAAATCATCCTTTTGTAACACGTAAAAAAAGTTTTCCAACCAGTTCATCTCAAGCTCTCTACCATAACGTCTTGTAAAAATAAAGGTTGGTTGTAATTCACATAATATCGGGGTTGCTTGATTATTGATGGAAACTGCAATCAATATACAGTAAACCTTCGATAGTTCGAAACACAATGGTTCGATACTCCTTGTAGGTCTACACGGGCTGAGCTATTTTGCCAAGTGATATTTAATGGTTATATTGTAATGTAAGCTGACTTTAACATTAATTTGTCATTTATTGTTGACTTGAGGATAATGAACAGTGAAATAGTTAAGCTTTTTAGTATTTAATAAATTGGGGTGATTTCTATTTAGGCCTTAACTTGTGTTTTTACTTTCCTGTAGAAAAACTCCATTTACTCCTTATAGTTCGACATTTCGATAGTTCGACACCCCTTAAGTCCACAAAGTGTCAAACTATTGAGGTTCTACTGTATTACCTAGGAGGGAGCAATACACATTTGTCATTATACAGCAGCAAAAACGGCCATTTTGAGTCTAAAGGGGACTTTTTTACATGAAAAATGAGAATTTATCTCCATTCATACAATTCTTAACCATAAATATTATACCAATGTAACCCTCCATTCTTGCAAAAATCCATAAATTCACCAGTATTTTGGGTAAAGATAAACAGAAAGATAGTATTAGTAATGCTAATCCTTGTGACTGCATTGCCAGAAATGATTCACAAACCAGATCATTAGCTTATTATACTATTTAAGAACAGTTTGTTAACTTTTAAACTTTCACGTGTCAAATATTAAGGTTCAAAGAAAATTCTTAGGACCGGTGTAGGGCCTAGTCTATAAAAATATAAGAATCCATGATTCTAAATAATTTAGTATAAAAACACATAGTAATTTTAAATCATTTTATAAAACCAAAATTACAGATTAACTTATTTTGCAGTCTTGGTGCCCTGAGCTTTCAGGACCTTGACCACGATCTTCTGTTCTTCGATGAGGAATGCTCTGATAATCCTGAAAAGTAATTTACTAGTTTAGCCTTAAAAAGTCAAACAAAATTTGAAAAAAAAAATTGTATTTGAATTTTTTAAGTATAATTGAAAACATTCTTACTTCTTTAAATAAATATAACCTACAACCTCTAAACATGTAAAATATTGTTTTTTAGACCTACATGTAAAACAATAATTAGTGCTAATAATCTGCTACCCATGATGTTCTAAAACAAAATGGTGGATATATATCTGTGAATGTATGCAACCCAATTTTGCAAATATAACAGATTATTTTATTTTTAATTTATGTGAATTTAAGCTGTTGACATTTCTTCTAAGGGAACAATCCAAACTCTGGTCTTGATATTATCTAGCCTTGGGGCGGGGCTATTGCTGCCATCTTAGAATCGGATTGCGTCCCTACATTCGTACACATCTAGCTACGGGAGAGAGTGTATCTCTGGTACTTTGTCTGCAGTGAGTGTTAAAATCAGCTCTGTCATTGCAAATCCTGCCATTTGTGAATTGTGCTGTGGGATTAGTTGTTTGTGGCAAAATATCATAACCAAATTGAAAGTAAGAGATTTGTGAAGAGAGAATTGGCCGAGAGAGACAGTGGTGCATTTACCAGTAACTTAGCTTTAAAAACATCAGAACAAACTTTCACAATCAGGGCCACAGTGATAGGCCCAAACAGGCAGCTGAACTAGTTGGGAAAGTCGGTGACAAAATCAGTGGAAATCACTGTTTCAGAATTATGGATCTCGTGGAATATTTTCTCAAAATTTTGTAGAGTTTCTTTCATAAAATTGACTAATAAACTTGGTTACCACGAATTTCGAGTCCTGGGATTCTTTTGATGAGAAATGTCCCAAGCGGGGCCCAATGCTAAAAGCCTGTGACTTTCTGGACGAGATACAAATTTACTTGCTAGTCACTCTTGTATGCAATGTATATAGCTAGTCTGCAGAGTGAAAACTAGAAGGTTACTTTACAAAAACCAGCCAGTTTGTCTACACAATTGGCAGGATTGTCAGTTACCCGTCTGCAAAATCTACAAACATTATACGGATATACCATCACCTATCAAATAAGTAGGGCCTAATGACACTACATCGCTCTTGGACCAATGTATTAATAGTTTTTTTTGTCTGATAGGACCCTGACATGAGCCCGGGATTGTTTTTCACATTACTTCAGGCTAGACCTAGGGTTTGCAGCATTATCACTTAGATAAAATCCGTTGGTGATTTGGCGGGATTTGAACCTGGGACCTCCAGGACCGAGGTTCTGTGCTCTAATCACTACACCAGCTCGCTCCCCCAATGTCAGTGTCTTTAACAGTGTCTTTCTAAAAAGCTAAACATAATGTTTCTTGATTAGCTTATAAAATGAAAATTCAGCCTATAACCTCTATCAACAAAAACCCTGATTAACCGAAACGGCCTTTTAAGGAAATATTACTTACACTAAAATGTGTCTTAGACAAATGAAGAGACTATTGTAAAGTTTCCGCCAGAGCAATGAAGAAAGGCACAGGGTTTATAGCCATTGACTGCTACCTTTGACTATTAATACCTGCTACTTAACACGAACTATAAAAACACAGCCCAACTACACCGATTTACAACACCTGACCTCTAGACGGAAACATGAGTGAAGATGGATGGCGAGATATTGGGCTAGAAAACATAGGTATTAAAAATAATGGTTTGATCTATATGTACAGGCTATATAGGCCTATTTGTACATATTATGCCTTAGTTTTCATTAGAAGTTTAGTGAAAACATTAAAAAGCGCTTCAATAATGTTCTTATCTTATCAATTTAAATGCTGAAAAAAAACAGACTTCCTTTTTATTTTGGCTACCGTAAACTACCCCCTCCCCCTTTCGTCCGGTTAGGTTCTACTTTCAAGTGTAAAAATACATTATAAACCTACAAGACTCTTAGCTTACCTCTCCTTGACACACTTGTGGCAGAGCACTCCACCGTAGGAACGCTTGACTGTCTTCTTGCGGCGGCACATCCTGGATCTCTCCATGGGCCGAGCAGGCTGGATACCTCTCAGCTTGTCCTTGCACTGACCACATCTGGGGATCTTCTTGGGCTTCTTCAGATACTGATAAACCAGCCGACCACCTGGGGTTCTCACACTGCAAACAATGATTTTAAGTTATCAGGTGAAAATATTGTAATAGGCCTATAGTAACAAAAATACTAAGGCTTTTTTTTTAAATTCCTATAACACATTTGTAAAAATAAAAATTAATACATTTAGGCTAATCCAAAAAATAGTCTTTCCGGTAATTCTGTGTAATTACTTGGTCAACGACAAACTTTTTCATATTTTACTACGGTCATAAGGATGTTCTCAGAAAACAAGAAACATATCATTCAAGCACCGCAAGGCCATCGTACAGGTTGCCGAGCGATAAGAAGGTTCAAAGTCACGCGATAACAGTCAAGTGGCTTGTGGGAGACGCGTGGAAGGCCAGTTGTGTCAGTTATGTTAGGTTATGAATCCTAACCTAACGTAACCTTGCGGGGCTTGAATTATACCGGTGGGGCACACGGAAGATTTCTCAGGTACCGTTTGACGTCACTAACTGCTGCATCTGAAGAAACAGACAATTTTATAATTTTTCTATTATTAAATTAAACTGTCATAACCTAACCAAACTAACCAAACGTGCCGATAATGGAAAAATCGAATAAAGGTTTACTAATCCAAAAAATAGTTTTGTTCATAAAATGAAATTATAAATGCCTAAAATTGAATTTTATAATTTTTAAATTATAAAATTAAACTGTCATAACCTAACCAAACTAACCAAACTTGCTGATATGAAAAAATTGTTGTCAAAAAGTCAAAGCTACCAGCGGGATTCGAACCCGGTACAATAGGATTGTCAGCCCGGCACGCTATCCACTACACCACCGAGGCCGATAGCTCATACCGTATCGTTGCGGTATTGGTGTTCCCTCAAAGTGACATCAGCAGTTAGTGACGTCAAACGGCACCTGAGAAATCTTCCGTGTGCCGTTTCGGAATTATACAGGGTGACACAAAGGAACCGGACGTTTTTTAAACAGCATGCAAGAGATTATGTAAAATACAAGACTTCATAAATTATGCTTAAAAGGCAATAAAGAAATATTTGATTTGATGTATTAAAGTACACTGGAGTTTAAAGTTTGACCCTACACAGTATTGCAAACTCATCTTAAAGCAGAGTTTTCCTAGCGACGTGGTTAAGCCAGTAATACAGTGTGCTTCCTGCTACGCGGTTGCCGGAGCCACACATACGTTTAAAACCAGATGGGAGTGTTTTCCTAGCGACGCGGTACGCGACTAACTGTTAACCGCGCAGCGTGATTGGGGGCACTGCTCCGAGAGCAGTTGTTAACATGCTGCCGAACTGGGATATTTTTTACATTAGAAATATGGTGAAAACTAGTTTGAGTGATGTTACTGGTGATGACGGCAGTTCGTTAATTGACAGTGTGTGTGAGTTTAAAGTGCAATTCCATTCTGATTGTTGGCTTTGAAGTGATGCCAATACGCACCAAGTTGACAAAACAGGAAAACTGATCTTAAGTTAGCCCAAAGTCAAAGAATTCCTAATTTTACTTCATCGTCCATCAGGTGCCTATTAATAAGAATACTAAAAGCACACTCATAGCTATAAACATAGATTTAAATAGTTCACTACAGCATTTTTGCCTGTTGTACAGTAGACCTTACACCTTCGCTCATCTCTTCTTCTTCGACCATTAACATGCAAACCATTATTAACAAGCGAGATAGCCCTTTTCTCCGATCCATTGAAGAACACTACTGTGAGTACCGCTTATTTGTTAGTCACGCAACGCATTGGCCGATTCATAGGAAAACACTTTTGAGCTGTGTCCTTTAACCACGCCGATCATTAAACACGCTGCGTTCTTGAGCTTAACCACGAAGCACGCAGCATGGTTGCTAAGTTGGAGGAAATCGCACCTTGAGTTTAAAATGCAGTAGTAGGGCCTACTTCCTAACCCATATAATCAGGGCTGCTGTTTCAGGGGTTTTAAGCCTACATAAAACACAAATTTCTCACTAAACATTAGGGTTTAAGTTAGGCCTATATAACTATTGGAGATTATGCAGCCGAGTGCTGCCAATGCTAATTAAGTTATACGACAAAGCAATTTAAACCTGGTTAACACTGAATTAGACCTATAAAAAAAGTGATTCGGGTATGAACTTTTACGTGTGAATTAAGTATTTGGCAACAATTAGAAGTATATTTGATTATCACCCCAAGGTAACTTATGACATTACATCAGCAAAACACCACATTGATACATGATAGGCGATCATATCTAGAGAATTAAGTTATAGTACTTACATACGTCTTCTGTTACTTTTGGTGTTATAGGAGAGCCTCCTCCTGTATGTTAGCCTTTGGACCATTTTGGCCTAAAACAGTAATGCACAGTCATCAAACTAGGGCTAAAAATTTAGTTTCCATAATACAGAACCTACAACCTAGAACTTCAAAACAAAACACTTAATACAGTCACGAGTCCGCATAACACAACCTACCAACCTCACATGTCCAAATAAGAACTGAATTAGGCCTAGTTCATAATCAACGCTCTGTTGAATTTACAAATGCCTCTACCTCTTTGTCCTCTTTGAACAGACCTAAACTTTCTTTGTCATCTTAGGTTTATTCTTCTTCCCTATACAATCCTTTCAATTTCAATCGTTCATGTTTGTGTTAATCAATTCACTATTCACAGTAAAGTAAAGGCCTATATAAATAAAATAAATAAATAAATAAAGGCGACAGAGACCAGCCGACAAGAGGCATTACAGTAATAAAATTTAAAAAATCACAGTTAATTCGGTTTTTGTGACAGCAGAAAAGTTCTGGCACCAATGTTTACGCGTAAACATCTAGTTTATAATGATATTTAAATTACTATGGTACTCTTGGTCACCCTAGTCGCAATAATTTCCTAGATTTGTATGACTGTTTGTACGGGTATATTAGGCCTTTTGCTACTTAGTTCGAATTCAGCGAAAGCAAGTACCAGTAAAGACTAAGTTATAGCCTATAGCGGGGCCTGACTGATGAAATGATTACTTCTGAACTTTACCTATATAGAAATGTTGATGAACAATAGGCTAACGGAAGATAATAGTGATGCGCAATTGCGAGATGTTACAATCGAGACTTTCAATTGCTTGAACCTCTCGAGACGTTTCGATTGTATTTTTGCTTAGCGAGAGGTTCTTACCCAGAGGTTTTATCAAGATGTTCATGACGATTGTTTCGTTTCAGCACGACTTCTCTAGTACCTACGGTATCTCGCATTGAGAACCAAGAGGCGAGAAGTCCTTACTGAGAGTCTTTTTAACGAGATGTTTAAAGTGCGGCATCGTAATTTATTAGCCTACATCTAATTTCTAAGTTATTGTACCTATCTGCCGGGAATCGACCCCCAACAAGAGGTATATCTTACTTCAAAACCAAGGAAGGTTTAATGTAGGGCCTATGGATATATTTTTTACTTTATCTACCCAACTTAAGTTAATTTAATACCACTCAATATAAACTATTGACAAGACAATATATTTTTTTACTTTACGAACAAAATGTAAGTTAGGCCTATTTAATTTGAAATGTTTATTATAATGAGACATAAGGATCTCATAAATGTTATGGTAACAGTATTATTTACCATTAGGCCCTACCCATTAGCCTCTTTTGAAATAGTTTTATCAGCAGTAGGCCTATATATTGCGCAACGCTCTAAAAACCTCCAAAAATCTAAAAACCTCGCCTCCAGTCAACGCTCTAAAATTTTTTTTTTTAATCTGTTCGTTTTTTAATGCTGATTCCAAAAATGATATTCATTTTTTGCGGAAACGAAAATGGGAAAAACGGGAAAAATATTTTTTTGCCCAAAACCCATGTTGTGGGTACTCAAATTGTGCGGAAATTCCTCCTGAACAAGAGGATTTTAAGAATATGTATAATTTTTATTACAATGCAACAATCGAGAGAAACATCTCGATTGGACAAACCTCTTATGTACTAAGCAATCGAAAAAATTGATAAACGGAACATCTCCACAAGGAACGTTAAAATTGTTCAAACATCTCGCAAACGCACATCACGGGTAAGTACCGTTTCTTAACTGGGCTATACTAATATCGATTGAAACTATCGAATTGAAAATATTGATTAATAATCAACATTTATCTCTATTATAAAATTAAACTAAGTTATTATAACCTAACCTAACCAACCAAACTTGCTGATGGTGAAAAAATCGCATGAAGGTTTACTAATAGAATCGATAGTTTCAATCGATATTAGCATAGCCCAGTTAAGAAACTGTACCCCACATCACTAGTAGATAAGTTAGCATACTAAAAGCCTAGGCCTAGTTTGTTATTTTCCAAACTAAAATTCACTCAGGGTGAGGGTATAAATGATCAGTCAAGCCTATACGTCATGGAGTAAACATAGAATTAGGCTAGTATTAAAATAGTAATATCTTTTAGCCATAATATAGTCATTTAGACTAACAATTTACTTTCTGTAGCAAGGTACATAAACAATAAAATCCTCAAGAGGTTATGTGAAAAGATTAACCATTTAATGAGCTAAAACTCAATGTATTGTCGTAAAATAAGGTTATATGATAAATGTAAGATAATAATTATATCTATTAAACAAGATCACACAAAAACAATAAGAGATTCAATAAATATATAAGGATAATGGTTGACATACCTCGTCGAAATCTATCCACTGAAAGGTAGACGACGACCGGAAGAATCGTCAAAGACGTTTAACTTGAGTTGAGTTACAGTTTAAAGGAAGTCTAGTATTACAAAGAGGAAAGTGGAAAGCTGTATAGTAACTGAGGTCCGTGAAGTTGGCGTACCCATATTAGCGTATCCACTTTTGATCATACCAATCGTTAGTTCATCGTTAGTTCTCGATAGTTCCCAAATTTTTTCGTTAGTTCTCAAAAAATAAAAAAGTTATAGCCGATTATAAGTGGGTACGCTAACTTCACACTTCCGGGTTCTAGCACGGGCCGTATTCACGTCCATGTCACTGGCCCGGCCATGACGGAATTAGTACATAAGAGTTATGCTAATATTTAGTACCTATTTCGTACTATTTAGTACCAACAAACAAAAAATTAGTACCCCACTCGGTACCGGATAACTAATTAATTTAGGATTCCGGGCCAGTGACATGCTTGCCCGGCCATTTTCGAATTTGATCATAATATGTATACCATCATTTAGTACCTATTTCGTACTATTTTGTACCTCCATTAATATAATTTGTACCTCAAAGAAAACCAAGCTACGGGCCCGTTAACTGTACAGGTCAATGACCTCTCAGCCCGGCCATATCGTAACCTATGGTTATAAAATATACTACTATTTAGTACTTATTTCGTACTATTTTGTACCTCCATTAATATAATTTGTACCTCAAAGAAAACCAAGCTACGGGCCCGTTACCTGTACAGGTCAATGACCCCTCAGCCCGGCCATATCGGAACCTATGGTTATGTTATAAGCTATACTACTATTTAGTACCTATTTCGTACTATTTTGTACCCCCATTAAAATAATTTGTACCCCAAAGAAAACCAAGCTACGGGCCCGTTAACTGTACAGATCCATGGCCCCTCAGCCCGGCCATATCGGAACCTATGGTTATAAGCTATACTACTATTTAGTACTTATTTCGTACTATTTTGTACCTCCATTAATATAATTTGTACTTCTAAAAAAACTACTAAAAAAACTGAAAGACAAATAATTTTGAAAACTAGGGAATGTTGAAGCCATAATTTTAGTTTAGGGTTTCAGTTTTTTAGAAGATAAGTTTAAAATTGTAAAAAGTCTAGCAGCCGACGCTAACATTCTACATTCTAGAAATATTGATATTACTTCAGTTTTAGTTGACTACTAAATTCCCGTACGTAGGACGGGCCAACAGCTCGTTAAGTTTTACAACATAAATTAATTAAGAAAAAAGAAAGAAAAAATTAACAAAGTTGTGAACTTAATGTTGAATGAAATAAAAAAATCACCACAGTACCCTCGCACCAAAATAGCCTAAACCTCGACACATTGATAACTTGGGTTGTATGAGTAGTACATATTGTTTAATATGAAGAACTAAATAGTTGGAGATAACCACCAAATAACTGCATCACTTGTTAATTATTGAGTACTAAATAATAGCATACCTTATAACTAGAAACTGTGACATGGCCGGGCTGAGGGGTAATTAACCACTAACAATAACATGATTATACATACAATATGTAACATAAGTAGTTTGTTTATCTTTGAGGTAATTTTTTTACCTCGAAAGGTACAAAAAAGTACGAACAAGGTACTAAATAGTAGCATAGCTTATAACTACAGGTTCCGATATGGCCGGGCTGAGGGGTCATTGACCTGTACAGTTAACGGGCCCGTAGCTTGGTTATCTTTGAAGTACAAATTATATTAATGGAGGTACAAAATAGTACGAAATAAGTACTAAATAGTAGTATAGCTTATAACCATAGGTTCCGATATGGCCGGGCTGAGGGGCCATTGACCTGTACAGTTAACGGGCCCGTAGCTTGGTTTTCTTTGAGGTACAAATTATATTAATGGAGGTACAAAATAGTACGAAATAGGTACTAAATGATGGTATACATATTAGGATCAAATTCGAAAATGGCCGGGCCAGCATGTCACTGGCCCGGAATCCTAAATTAATTAGTTATCCGGTACCGAGTGGGGTACTAATTTTTTGTTTGTTGGTACTAAATAGTACGAAATAGGTACTAAATATTAGCATAATTCTTATGTACTAATTCCGTCATGGCCGGGCCAGTGACATGGACGTGCCGTATTCTGAGGAGAAATGTTTACATCTATATACCAATCGTTAGTTCTTCGTTAGTCCTCGATAGTTCCCAAATTTTTTCGTTAGTTCTCAAAAAATAAAAAAGTTATGAGGCATACAAAGTGGGTACGCTAACTTCACAATTGTACAATTTCCAGCGGGAACAGTTTTCTGACTATAAATGCCTATATCTATATACATTTTGTACATTTGGAATCCACATGCTCGTCGAAGGAGAAAGTCTGATGAGAAATTCACTCCCAAGTCTTTTAACCAAAGACTCTCTTCAGAGGTTGGTTCATAATGGTATACTCTCTGTCATATTGCTCAAGAGTATAGAACATAGCAGATTGTAATTAAATTCTAGTTAAAAATATATATATTACTGCCGCCTGATTGTATTATTTTTTCAATTTAATTTTTGTCTTTTGTCATGGGGGCAATTTATGGTTGTGTCGTCGCCCGTCGGCAAACATTATGCATGTGGTAGTCGGGAGAAGGAGTGTTGGTAGGTTAGGTAGTGACTGCTGGGGACTGAACTTTTCGGTATTACGGTGATGTTTTTTTTTAAGTTTTTATCTGTATTTTTTCAGGTGGTTGTTTGATAAGTTTTTATCAAAAATTTGGTGATAATTTATATCTCTCTTATATTTCTTAGCCTAATAATAAATTCGAAGAGCTATAAATCTGCTTCTTTTTATACTATAATGCTAGATGATGATGAATTTAGTTTCATGATAATAATTAATTCGAAGAGCTATGAATCTGCAGCTTCTTGTAAGGTACAATTATTATAGGGGGGAAGGGTGTTTAATCTATGGCTAAGACCATTGACTATATTAGTTTGATCCTCGAGTTTTGCTAACTCGCTGTCTGAGTCGGAGACGATTTCAATCGTCAACTTTACAACAAGATTAGACACGAGTCCCCCAGTTACCCTAAACAACGTTCAAATCCCACAGTGCAATGAGGTTAAATACTTAGGCTTGACCCTTGATAGAAGACTCACTTGGAAAAGCCACATCTGGAACAAGAGAATTTCGTTAAATTTAAAATTTAAAAATCTTACTTGGCTATTAAATCAAAATTCTAAATCAACAACAGAAAATAAATTACTTTTATATAAAACTAATTTAAAACCAGTATGGACGTATGGTATCCAACTGTGGGGGACATCCAGTGAATCAAATCTGAACGTCATCCAAAGATTCCAATCCAAGGTTCTAAGGCACATTCTTCAGGCACCATGGTTCGTTAACAACGAAGTGCTCCATAGAGACAGTCGAACCCCAACGGTCAAAGAAGAAATTTCAAGGTTAAGTGCCAAATACTTAAAGAAATTAGAATCCATCCCAACTACCTTGCTTTGAATTTGTTGAACAGCAACTGTATAGATTGAAAAGATGCCATGTTTTGGACCTGAGTAGTCGTTTTTAGAGATTTATGGACTTTAAACTTTGTGCCAATACGCAAAGTTTGTGTGTTAGCTTTATTGTTGGATAAAGACTAACTACTGTGTTTAAATTTTATCATATTTGCTTATTGTTCTATTTTTGTTGAACAGATTGTAAATTAAATAAAATGTTACAAAAAAAATCTTCAACGCGTCAGCGTCAAAGAAAATCCAGTTGTTTGGTTTGGTTGTTTAATTAGTCTTTTTCTTTTCCTTTTTTTTTCTTTTTCTAGCACTAGCACTAGCACTAGAGCGAGCGAGCGAACTGAACTGAATTAGTGAATTGCGTCTTGCGTCTTCTTGCGTCGTTTCGTTTTCCTTTACATTTACAATTACATACAACACAGGTCCACAGGTTCAGTTCGGGTTTTGTGCAAACGATTGTTCTTTTCACAATAGAAGTTTAGCTTCAGGTTTGTAAAGAACTATAAACCACTATTTTGTCTATCTAGTTAAATAATTTTCTACAAACTAAGACAGGCTAGTCTAGTAATAAGCTAAAAGCTAACCGATGAATAGTCTCTTTGGACTCCCCAAATCAAACCGGCATCGACGAAGCCATTGCTGGGTTGGCTTGTCGCATGCAATTTTCTTATTATGAACCGAACCTTTAAAATGTTTTGATATTTATCATTGTGTTTAGCCTACCTATTGGTTTACCATTATTGTAGCAGGTGCTGTAATCATGATTTATATCAATTACATCAAACTTATGGGTTAAAAGGCTAGAAAATAAATTTTATAACCATAGGGTACTTAGCTGACCTCTAACTTCTTTGAATCTAAGTTAATACAATTATTGACAATTTCCTCTAAAGCAGGTCTCGCTTTCAAAATAAAAATATCTTATTCCATTAGGCAAAAAACAACGCAATAGCTTAGGATATGTCAACAATTTCTTATTCTGATATGGACAAGCAAGAAAAGTGTAAGGTTTATGGTAAGCTAGTAATAGGCCTAGGAGTAGACTAAACTTAGACTGTCATTGACTTATACAATCCTTAACTTTTAAAATATTAGTAGGCCTAGGCCTATTGATTCCCTATGTAGCCTATGCCTAGCTTTTATTTTGGGTTGGCAGAGCTATTCGCAAGTCAGACGTGCGCCACTACCACGCACGTCTATTCCAAATGGCGCCACATTAACCTAATCGGGTACACTTCCATGTCTGTTGGCACAAACAACCGAATGAGTAAGTAATATTGATTATTCAATTGTTTGATTCGATATAACTTATCGTTTGGTTAGTTAGGTAAGTTTAACCTAACCTAGGGCCTAGGCCTAACTAACCAAACGACCGACAACAAATCGATATATCAAATAGTCGATATATTGAATAATCGATATATCGATCGATATTTTCATTCGGTTGTTTGTGCCAACAGATATGGAAGTGTACCCACCTAATTTGGTACTTTTAGTTTGGGAACAGGTTGCACACAAAGAAAACCTAGTAAGTTATTAGGAACGGTCCCTTAGTCCCTCTAAACCTCATTAGCCGAA